ATTGAGCCGTGTTACTAATAATATGCGGACTGGATTGTATGAAGCTTTTCAAAGCTTCATGCAATGCAGTCCGCATTTTCAAAACTACTGCAAAGTACCCATCGAAAACATCTTTGTATATCAAGTCATTCACAGAGAAAAATGATTTCCTCAACAATTTTGATTCAAATTAGCAGTTGGACGTGTTATTTAATACATACGATTCCCTATAGACCAATGCTCCAAAACAGTTTTGAGTGCGACAATAAGGTTTTTGTGGAAAAAAGGAAACAGTTTAATGATTGTACTAGCAGCATCATGGCAGGCACAATGGCTCATCAAAACTGAAGCGCATAGTTGACGCATCTTGCCCATCGCTGCGACGTGAAATTGTCATAATTGTTTTTTTAAATGTAATTTGAATTTCTACAGCTTACTATTTGCATAACAGGTTTTTAAGTTTTGGGATGATTTTCTAGTTGACATCTTTGTTGGATTTTTTCTTTTGTCAATTTTGGAAGCTTATTGAGAACGAAGCTGTATCTGGTCAAGGTGTGAGATATTCTTGGTCGACCTGCCTAACTTCTAGTTGTCAAGTGGGAGATTGCTCCTCTGCTCCTATAACGGTTTCGCTCAAACAAATCGAATTTCCTAACTGTTTGTGCTCTCTCGCAGCTTCCTTATTTACATTAATCGCCGTTTCGAGTTGTGATTGACAGGCCTCGATATCATCCACATTCATATCAGATATGGGGTTGATTAATAGCAAAGTTGAATTATATGAGCTTTAAATGAATTACTGCGCAAAGCCTGTAAATGATTGTCTATAGTTTTAATTGGGAAAAGTCATTAAATAAATATTCGAAATAGTTGGCCATGTATGTCCAAGTTTTGAACATTCTTCTGAAAGAGACCTCACTAGATAGTTGAGGTTGAAGTTGCTATGAACGTGGACTGATCTTTATCTCCACCTGTTGCTATGGATTTGTCGTATCCAGCTTATATACATTGACACTTCGCAATTTTTTTTCTTCCAAGAGCTATAACGCTTATCTGCATTATCTGCGCCTTGCAGGTCGCGAAGTGCTTCGCAAACAGCACTCCTGACGGTTGTCGATAGTTCCTCTGGAGTTACGCTCGGGGAATGTCAAGATGTACCGGAAGATGGTTAGTTCGCGTAATTTGTTTTAGTCGAGCATCCTTGCATAGTGCTGCGAAATTGAGTGAATAAAGGAAATTTGGTTATTTTCATTACGTTACCGAGCGTGCTTTCGTATTTATTTCAGAATATCTTGTGTTGGTCTCAGTTAACAGTCAGTAAATTCAAAGTCGAATTTGCAGTTGCAGTGTATAAAATTTTTTCTTTCAAAGAGAGAAATATTGACCCTCCAACTCTGGACGGCGCTTATTATGAAATTATAAGCTATTGATTGAAATCGAACGTCAAATTTAAC